ATAGGTTTCCTCAAGCCTCCACCCCAAAGGATTCCGAAATTACTTCTGTAGATAGTGGATTTGCGGGGTGTTCGTTCTAGGGAGAAGTCGCGGAGCCACGCGTTTCAGGAAGGTGAAGAGACCATACTTTTGGCAACCTGCCGTGGCAGGATTATACAAATTTTTTGGCAGTTAATAAGCAATGAGGAATAGTCGATGCAGTAGTCTCTCTAGAATACCAGTGGTATAGCATTTGCCATCACATGTTTTGGACTGAGACATAGCCGGACGTCTCGAAAATAGTATATGCCTTTTCTTCTCTATTCCCTAGACCCCAAAGCTTTAAATCATGATATAGTAGTTTCCATGTTCTTTCCAATTCCTTCATTGGTGATACTTGGGTCGGGATTCTTGTCGAAATCAGCCTAGGCCAGGCAGTTGAAGGCTTCCTGAAATTAGGGGCCCCCTCTTGGAAAGTCTCAAGAATGAGGACTGTGGTGTACTGGGGCCAATTGTGAGACGAAAGTTCTGCGACCCTAAGCACCCTCTGCCCACGAATTGCTGTAGTTTGAGAAGTTCTTGGGGGAGTATTTTTATTCACTACAAGACCGTGGTCGCATGGGAGATTGTGTTCCCTACAGGTGTAGGGGCACTTGGGCATATACTCCTAAAATGTAAACCCAAAACGAGGGTCCTCCACAGCCTCGACAGCACCAGGATACAGAACCTTACTCAGCGGACGTTAGCCGTGACATCTAAATGCGGAATTTCGCAAAGAGACGATAAGGGACACTGAACGCCCCCAAGGATTCCCAGAAAGATTCCAGAAGCATCTTGAGCCGCGTGCTAACGCTGCAAGGTGTTCAAACATTTCCGCACTTTCTAACGCCAGGAATGTAGACCCCTGATTAACAGACCCCTTTTTCGTAAGGCCTTAATACCTATTCAGGAAATGGGGCTTTATGATTTTTCAATCTGGGGTCTACAGCGCTTGATATGCAACCCCAGGTTCTGGATTTTGGGGCTTGGTGTTTTTCGTAATCCATTTCCAGCAAGCGAAGAAGATCAAGGACCCTGGCAGGTGGGTAGCTACCCGGTGGGACCCCCATGTGAGCCACAGTCAAGGCACGGTTGGAAGGAGCTATGTCAGGGGTGGACATGGGGAGGAAACAACCTGTTAAGCGATGGGGGAACATTGAAAAGCGGCACCCCAGAGTTTCAGGTGAAAACCCTTGAAAACTGACGGGGAACATTGAAAACCGATACCTCCCATTTTGGCGCCCATTTCCGGATGTTGGGACTTTTGATGGTCACTCATGTAAGACTGAACATGAGGCTCGTAGTAGGCTTCAGGGTTGCCTACCTCATAGACACCGGAGCTCTTTGAAGCAGACCTGCATGCCATGCCTGCAAGAGCAGTAAGCGACCAGGAGAACAAGCAGGAAATCCTTGACCTCAACTTGTACCTAAACCCTAAACCCTAGCAATCCCATGCCTATCCGAGGCTGGGCCACTGGCTGACGGCGCTACTGCAGCTGCCACGTGCCGCCAAAAACTGTTCACCCTAGGGTTTAGGGTCTTAGGGATCTTTCACTCTGAGACTACGAGGGTTCTCAAGCGCGGGCTCTGAGATTTAAAGCCGCACAGGGTACTTTCCATAAACAGAGGGACCCCAAGAAGGGGACTCCTAATTTTGAGAAAGCCCGAATGAGCTCAGGACTTGACGAACAGTTTTGTGGGCGGCTGTTTAGTCTTGAGGGTTTGCCGGACATGAGAACTCCTGAAAAAGTTCCTTACAGGATTGTGAAGAGAGGACCCCATGGTCTCTCCTATTCTCTCCGTATATCCCTGGCAATCCAGAAGGCAACCTGCTGTGACAAACCTCCGTATCCGGAACCTCGTTGGGCACTGTGGTCTTGAAGAGTTTGACCCTTACTTTGCTGCGAGATTTAAATATCGACCCCTGATTTACGTCCAAGCCTTTTGAAACACTTCAGAACAAAGCTCATCGCGACTCATACAGGGGCTTGAAGAAGTGCAAATATCTTTCCCTAATACATGTACTACAATCCCCCTGAGGCGTCAAACCTTCTTGCCAACATGTTGGGCCTTAAACCCTGAACCCTAACAATTTGTTTTCCATGACTTCATTCCCACCCTAAACCCCACACCCCTTAAAAGGTTCGACAATCACCTGCACGCCGCCTTCCGGTGCCCAGCACTAGCCGCACAGCACTTGCAGAGCTTCTTGGTGGAATGCAGTCACTGCACATGGGCTCCAGGATGTCACTGGGCTTAGGATTTAGCATTTAGGGTTTTGGTGCAGCAATTGAGGGCCCTGGGCTTGGTGCTTATGAGGTAAGATTTGGGGTTCTAGGAGTTTCCTCACGAAAGCTCATGAACTCATGACCCTTAAGCCCTAAACAAGCGTCATCTGTTACTTACAGCGACCCGTTTTACCACAAAAGTCCTCTTCCCCCTTGCAGTAACTGCCTCATATGTATGGGTCTATATTACGGGGCTAGCGGCTAGTATAACTCCTATGACATATTGTCGCAGCAGTTTCCGTGCGGGGGAAGAACCTCAGGTCAATGACTATCACATTCTTCAAGCTTGATGCGGCAAGTCCACTGAACAAACCAGAATAATTATGAGTATCAGTTCCTAAGCATCCTTGTGAAACTACAGTATACCCCCACTCTTAAAGTATGGTATACTCCAAGACCCTATTTCAATCATTTGGGTCCCCTTGATGCAGCTGCAAACGGATAGGATCCTTCTTGCCAGCAGCTGAAAGGATGCCAAACAGGAGCTCCAAGCTTTCAAGTGGTAGCCCCCAAGGCCCTATAGTCCCCCTTAAGTAGATAGAATACGGCTTTGGGTATACTAAAATATGATCCCCATATATTCCAGATTCTATCTACAGAGAGACTATAGCCCCCAAGGTCCTAGTGGTTAGGATCCTCCAGCCTGTGTTGAGGCGATATCGGTATGAATTAGAATATGTGGTTCGTGTTGTAGTTTCATGCTGGACGGCTCTCCATAGCAGGATAACAATTAGAGCTTCGTATGCTCACGGTGGCTTGGAAACTACAAACTGACAGCTTGACACAGAGCCCTCTTCCTTGTAAAAAGGCCAGCTAAGCTGCTGAAAACGCATAGTCTCTTATCACGATTACGGATACCATCAGTGTTTGGTGACATACCCTAAAATCCTACAGCCTCTTACCACTAGTACATACTTTTACGAAGAACACTAGTGTTTCGTAATCTACCTACCCACAGCAGACCTGGTCGCCAGCCACAAGCCTAAACACCGAGACCTTGGTTTCATGCCTGGTCCATTAAAGTGTTGAAAGAAAAACGTACGAATAGCAATAATGTTAACAAAATAGTCATAATAGTAATAATAAGAACAGTAGGAAGAATACTAATAACCGGAACCTTTATCAGGCACAGCTGAGTGGTCGTTGTCCCTGGATCACCCTCGCCGTGCTCGCGTGCTTATTCAGCTGGGCCACTTAGCTGCAATCTGAACCCAAAGCAATGCTTACGGTTGATACAAAAGGCTTGTGTGACCTTAGTATATTTAACTCCCATAGTTCGCAAGGGATAATGTACTTGGGGTCATGCAAGATGTTCAGTAGCCACTGTAGGGCAGTCTTCTCAAAAATGAGCGTGTCACAAAGCCACAGTATGCGGGCACTCGATATGGAATCCCCATGATTGGCAAACACCTCAAGACCCTCAACTCTGAGATATAGCCATGAGTCTCATGGTAGCAGACAGCTGCGGACAGAAGTTTTGGCCGTGCTGCTGCAACATGAGCTCTAGAAATTGAAGCCGAAGCCGATATCATACTGCGGATTTGCCTGTTAGTTAAATCATGGAGCATCTAACAGCATGGTAAATCACGTCCCTCTGCATTCAATTCCACCTGCACAGCAAAGACTGTCACATCTCCATCTGCAGAAAGACTACAAAATGCAACGATCTCTTTGTGAAACTCCTGTAGCTGTGGATGCTTCCGTTTCCGAACGTAGGTCCAGACAGAACAAAGACAAGATGCTAACATCAATGGCGTTTGACACATTGCGCCCCAAGCGGAGGTGTATGCTTTTGTCATCTGCTCCTGAGGAAACGCCTTCAAGTTTCAAGCCTTGAAGGAGTTTGCATCCTTGTACCACGAGATCAAGGATGGACCCACGTAAATCCCAGGCGGCACTTGGACCTGTCGGGCGGACACCCCTAAACATTCCAAGCCATAAATCCCACGGCCAATCGCAGTAACAGCCTAAGTCTGCATCCTAGTGCCTTCCCCAGGTTTGAACTGTTCCTGAACATAGGGTTTTCAGAGATCGCGTACTGCAATTTCCATTGAGGGGCCTATAGCAAAGGGACGACATTGTGGGTTATCACTTGGGTTCGAGCTCCTTGAGTAAATAAGCCCAACAAAAGGAAGGTCCCAGATTAGTGGGCAGTGAACTTCCTCCCTCAAGGCTGCCTCCATATGGGAGAAATGAAAGGTACTTTTTGGGGTCCCCATTTTAAAGTTTACAGTACATGAGGATCTATATTGGAGCCCCCTTATTTGAGGAAATGACCATATTGGAAAAAGGGCCGCCCTGCAGGCCAATCATCTTTGGCCTGAAAGCAGGGTGAGTAGTAGTTTATTTGGGGGTAGTATGGTACCCGATATAGAGTAAGATTGTATCCTCGTTTTGGGGTATAGTATCTTATATAAGGAATATAATCTGACTGGGTTTAGCCACCGAAAAAAAACTGCTCAAGTGAGGAAAGTGAGTAGTAGTCATGATGCGCAGAAGGAAGTACTTATTGTCATGAAGCAACTGAAGGTTGCATTCCATATGATAAAACCTATGGTTCCTAACAGCTGCAACAGTAGACTACTTTGGTGCTTCGTAGTACATCTGTTTCAGACTCCAATTAAGTCATGTCGTCATCCGTTGCAGTCCCGGCAGGACACCTTGGGTGAGCCAACGGACGCTTCACTGGAGGCAATGCCCAACGCACCCCCAAAGAGATTCCTACCGCGGCTGCACATACAGTACCAGAAGCTTGGGGCGATGTTTGTACAGGTTCAAAGTTCTCAGTAGGCTTCACAGCCTTGTGATACGGCTACCTGCGGCTTATGTAATGAGTATACTGCAGTTCTTTGGGAGGAGAAACGCTCTGAATCCGAGCATATGCTTTCGCCTTACGAGTAAGTAAGCCGCTATTGTCAAAGACCTCCCATTTCATCGATGTAGTGTAGTTTCCTATGCTGAGGGCGCCGGCGCTTATCGACTTGCGTTTGCAACGTCTTGTTCTGAGCTCTGAGGCAATTACTGCAGCCATTTCCAATCTGTGTGCTGCAGAGCCCTTAGCTGCATATGCAAGCAGAACCCTTACGCGGTCAAGGAAGCACTGAACATTGGAAGTTTCCAAAAATTGAAGGGATCTCTTTCTAGCAGTCCCTAACGCTAAAGAGCAGGTTGTATTGGGGTCTACATTGAGCTCCCTTCTTGCTGCAAACCAAGACCTGTCATAGAGTGCCTTTGGAGCAGCTCACAGGGTTCAACCTTGCAGGCTAAGCCGAACCTGAACACCGGGATCCGAAACTCAGCTTTAAACCCTAACCTCAAAGAGGACATGAAAAGAGATTCTGTCTCGAAGCCCTACAGGTAAAACGTAATAACATCACCCATCCTTAATATTGGCTT